CCTTAACTGCAGACTTCACCAGCTCTGAGTCGTCCTCAAGTTCGAGAATCGAGTATTGCAGCTTTTTCTCTTCATGTTTTACTGAGACATGAAGAGAAAAAGCTGCAATAGTCATGAAGGAAAAAAGCTTCAATAAATAGCTGCAATCTGTTAGAGCAGTTATCTAGTAGGTAACTGTTCTAACAAAGAAACTGTGTTGCTGCGTCGGTGGGAGGGTATAACAGGGTAATTTGGCATTATCAACTAAGTTGATAACGTAAATTGGCCATCGTAAGCTAATGTTTCGACTCGAAAAGTCAGCATTGAAATTCTTTACGATGGCCAATTTACGTTATCAAGTCAGTTGATAATACGAAATTACCCTATTCTACCACAACGCAAAGTTTTTATACTAGGAACTCCAACTACCCATAGATGGAAATATTTTAAAGAAAAAGGCTTGTCTATTTGTTTTTGATTTCCTAAAAGGCAATGTCTGTACTGAGTCCCTTCGAGATTTAACCCACAATTTTTTTACGAGGAACAATCTCCCATATGAAGCCAGCGTTGTTCTCTCGAAATTGAAACTTGACTTTGCTCAGAAAAATTGTTTGAAAAGAGAGTTTTTTTCAACTCTTTCCATTTAAATAGCAGGAAGATTAAAAATAAGGTAATATTAAGGAAATCCCTTTATGAATTTTATTTTGTATAGCGTAGTTACTGCAGGTTGGTGTTAGCCAAAGTCATTTTTTATCTTTTTTTTTTTGGTTTTTATTCTGTTCAAATTTTCATCAATTAAACAGGATCCCTTTGATGATAGGGGCTATCCTGTTTACATATTCGTTATTATTATTGTTCATTCTTCTGATGAAGGGTCGCCTTCCGAGGGTGGAATGGTGACTATATATCTGGTCATGTGAGAATTCAGCCGCTACTCTATACCGCTCGAGTGGCGTTGGCTATTTTCCCTTGTGATAAGGATTTACGTATTCACGGCGTCAACATCTAAATCAAACGTCATATCCGTTTTCTTGGATGCGTTATTTTAGAGAAAAGGGTAATAGCGCGTCACTTAGCTCCACCAAGGGTGTGTGCCTGTCTCCGGCTCCTCCAAATGACATCTTAAACTCCTATATGAAAGAAAGTCCTCAGTATTCTTAGAGTACTGTTAATAAACAGACAAAGAAACGGCCAGAGTACTGTGATATCAAAATTTAAAGCATACACTATACGTCATCCTATGCAGTAGGGTAGCCATTATTGTGTATTGCTATAGTTAGTTCATAACATTTCTTATCTTTTTTTTCGACATTGCGTCCTTGTTTATATTGTCGAATTATTTATTTGAGATGTGTCTTGGAAGCGGAAAAGTAGCAAAACAAAACGGTTAGCTACTTGGTTTTTCAAAAAGTTACTTCTATCTTTTCATTGTCCGTAAAACAGTGTTTAGGATAGACTGCCTGAAAACAGAAACCCACGATTTAAATGAAGATCAAAGCAAAGCATCATAGAAATGAGACGACAAAAAATTTCCAAAAAAAAAAAGATATGGCCATCGCTTTCTGTCCGTTCTTTCTTTCAAGGATCACAAAGACATCATCACCACCGTCGTGCAAGCTGCTAAACGAAACCTGCAAAATGCAATCGAGATTGCTGCAATTTAAGACCATTAAGGCTGTTGTTAAAGGACTTTCAATAGAAAAGACGATCGCACAAGAATATGGTACAAGAATTCAGCTTAAACGGTTTTTGTCGGATGATGACCAAACCGATTACGATCTCAAAAGTAGCTGGACAGTTTACATAATAGAAAAGGGTAGTTTATTATCATACACTAAAATATGCAGCATGGCGTCTAAATCGGTTGTTAGCCTCGGTTTATCATGACTTGCTAGCCCTGTAAAGTGCGTCTGTCTTAACTGTCAATGAACATGGCGACAATTTCAGTAAAGCTAACAATTGTAAGTGCCTAGTGTTTCTAGAGAGCTTTGACTGCTGACCTAAATTAAAACTAGCCTTAATTCATTCTGCACTTTACTTTTCTTCTTGCTTTTTTTTATATTGACGGATATAAGTGAACACGAAGTCTACCGTCGATACTATCTAAAACCGTCACGACTATCCCTTTTCTTTTCTTCTTGGTTTTTGACTTAGGAGAACAAATACACCCAAAAAAATTGTGTAGCCAACCAAACCTTATCTTGGTATCTCTGTCTATTTTTCTTCATTCATACTCAAAGGTGAGTATCGTAACGCTGTACAAGGGCTTTCACCCACATGCATTTGCACCTTGAAAATAGCATTCACACACTGTGTGAGGGGAAAACGCAGTAGCGATCAGGAATACTGTTGAAAAAGGCTTACTGTTAGTTTCTAAACAGTAGGGTAGGAGTATGTACAATGGTATCCTGCATGTGATTGGTCGACACGCTCCACTTGCGCAACTGTACCTAAGAATAGTATGAGACAAAGCAGATCTAGGTTTGAGTTTGCTTCCACTTTTCATAGTTAACTAAATCGTCTAAATCAACTAAGAGTCAGTACATTGGTCTATCAAACCGCGCTATTTGTAACGAACAACTTGAATTTTCCATAACTTAAAGTGAATCGTAAGGGTGGTAAAATATATTACAAATATCATAGAGTGGCTTGAGCAAAGTAGATACCATCATGATCACTTGTGAGCTTAGTATGAGGATATGTTTAGTGATCATCAGTCAATGGAGCTTCCAATGACCGATTAAGTCACAAAAATCGCCTTTATCCCATGCCCTTCAGTCAAACGGCCCATGTCGATGATAGAATGAAAGACTGTTGCTTAGGAAAACATTATCTTAACTCGGTACTAGCCAGTGCTTGATGAAGATAAGATAGTGTTTGCAGCGACATTGTGATTTTCATCAAGAACGTTGTGTCACAGCAAAGCTTCCCCAGTGACAGTTCCCTTTACGAGTCTAGTTTAAGATTGGAATCGTGATTTTCTCGCGCTAAACTTCATCATCATCATGTTCGTCATCGACATCATCAAAGTCATCGGTGATGACATCTTTAATACCACCTAATCTCTCGATGAACTGCTTCTGGAAGATATCCATTGAGTCAGCGTCAATGAGAACAAAACGAATATCGTTTAGAACGGCTTTTGGGTTTCCTCGCTCCATTTCTTCATCGGTAGTCTTGCTTGGCATGTCTTTCGGCGGCTTCGTCGATATTTTCTTTTTATCTGTTTGTATTTGTTTCTGATTACTTTGTTTTGACCCTTTTTTCTTTGCATCTTCTTTTTTCGTAACCGCCGCCATCCTGAGATACTCCTCCACTGCGTTTAACATGGCAAAGGCACACACATCAATAGGTACACCAAAGATACCGGAGCTTATCGCTGGTATGGCGATGGATGATAAACCGAGTTTAGACGCCAGTTTAAGACTCTGAAGGCACGCTTTCTCTAGAAGTTTCATATTTTCCGTATGTGAGTGTTTAGCCCACTCGGGACCAACGGCATGAATGACAAACTTACAGGGAAGATTTCCAGCGACTGTATGCACAGCGTCTCCAACGTGTAGCGCTTGATAGCCGCGTTTTCGCCTCAACGTGTCAGAATCCTTCTGGATTTCGAGCCCACCTCTTTGGACGATCAGCCTTGCAAGGCCAGCTCCGTGGGACAAAAATTCGTTCGCAGGATTCACGATTGCATCAACTTCCTCGGCAGTGATGTCTCCATAACGAAGGGAGATACACACACCATTTTCTGATCGATAACTATAGGTTTCAAAAGAAATTATTTCTGGTGCTGCCATTACCATTTCATGAGTACCAAGGCCAGTATCGTAACTTTCCTGTTGACTCATTCCTCCTTCCACAGTTCGCCTGGCTTCTCCTACAGATCCAGCATCACCATACACAAAAAACGGACCGTGTTCGTGGGGCCGGTCAATGATTACTGGGTACATAGTTCCAATGTAATCCATTAAAACTTTAGCTGAATCCTCGTCTGCACCTTTTAAGTCCAGCTCATTGATAACCATACCCTGGGTGACAGTTTTGATAAGTTCTGAAAGCTCACTGCAAGCAGTGTTAAATCTTGTGGGATCACAGTTCTGTTTAGCCTGAAGTATAACTCGAGTACCGTCATCCGAAGCGGTAATTTCCACAAGAAATTCTCCATTGATTTCATTTAACTTGTCTCCGTAAAACCTCTCCATAAAACGGAAGGCATATGGATCTACTTGAAACCATTGTGCTTCTATTGTGAGATGTACACGTCCTTCCTGATCGGCGCTGTTGACTTCGTTGATAGGGATGACCTTCGTTTCGGGACTACCTTCGATAGGGTCTTTGGCCGTCAGGCGAAGATTGGCTAGTTGCGCAAAAATTTCTTGGTCTTCGTGTAAGAACCTTGTTATTTGGAGGTGGCAATCATTAATTTGTTTCAAGGTACCTGATATGAAAAACGTTTTGTCATCGCTCCGAACGGACACATCTGTGGCCACCATTATTTTCTCCAAAATCTGTTTCGCCCCTTTTAGTGGAATGCCCAACCAGACGGGATCAAATTTTGCTGTAACCTGACAAAATATCTGAAGACAATAATATCGTGGGTAAATAGTTGAGCATAACATAGAGTATGTTAAGTATTAACCTATCGAAAACCGCTCCTCTCCTGGCGTATGCCTCGCTTCTCGTGCTAGCCTCACGCTTGTCTTCGCTCGCTCTAAGAATGCAAAAAGTGTCGCCTATTCTAAAAGCTACTCTTAAGGTGAGGACCGAACTCGCTACAAAAAGATTTTCTTCACACACGCCTTCTAAAATAAAGCTTCCTACTCAGAGAAACCAAGAAGTCAACTCAACAACCTCAGATCACGTCAGATGACAACCAACCTTGCTCGGGATTTATCATGAGGGTAGCGAGAGCGTCTACCAACTTTCTACCTTACCATAACCGAACGTATATTTAGCGGCACTGTATTAACAGACAGTTTTAAGCGGTCAGTTTTCTTAGTCTCGACATTTTTACCCCATAAAAACACCTTTACATCGTTATTAAGCGGTCGTGGTTACCCTTTGCTGAGTCACGGCGACCAGTTTGTATTATCCTCCACCAGTATTGAACGGTCACTTAAGGCGGGACCACTCAAATAAAACTAAGAATAATCTTTCGAGAAAAATTTAATTCACATCTATCTCCCGATATCGATAGTATTGAGCGAGTTTTGTATATTTAGTGGTCAATCATGGCATAAATGACGTTTTTATCGTTTCTGTTTAATACCCTTTTTATGTGGAAGCTATTTTTAAGTGGTCACTTCGCCATTTCCCTTAATACAAGTTTAGCTGTATCTCTTGTTGACCCCTGCGCATATGTCCTCCACGAAAACATCTATATCGTCACGCAAAATCGTTGCGTGACAGTTAACAATGATCAACAACCATGCCCGATGTAGTGATACCGAGCAAATCGAAAATTTATCATACCTCGTCATTGATCACTTTCCTTTTGCATGGTAGCCGATCAACCTTAACCACCACACCTTCAATCTTGTGTTCTTCCTTTAAAACTGTTTCCACAGCTATATATAGTGAGAAATAAAACTATCGATCATGCTCCCAGAATGTTGATAAATTGCCATAATCTGAGACTGTCGTAAGTAAACGTAGTGACATACACTCGGTGATTAGTAGATTAAATCATCGGTTTATGATAAAATATTTCATCGGACTTGACCGGTTTTAAACTGTTTATTGCTCTCATTTTCCTCCATCTTTGTTTCTTATCACCAATTTTTTTGTTCTCATTTGTTTACTCGTCAGAAAACTTGAACAGCCGTAAGAGATTATAAGCGCCTTTCAAAATTGAGGTCCGATGGTGAAAAGTAACCGGACTCCTTTAAACAGATTTCGGTTAAACACAAAAATAACGAACTAATGAACCAGGAAATGGACATGAACGCCATCTGAATCAAAGAGAGTGCACTTTAGAAGTTAAACACAAATATCCTATTGTGGATGGTTGAATATAACGATTACATAGCCTACATCTATGAATATGTAACATTTTTAAGCGTTTAAAGCCAAATTATTTCGTTATAAAGCACCTACTTTCCTCTTCTTCAAATGTGATCACTGCCCGGTCTCCATCTTGGGCGAATTTCACCGCCATCACATCGCCGCCGCCATGTTTACGCTGCTGAAAGTGAATAACAATGGCTTCTTCTTTGGTTCCCGGAGTAATATCTGACACTATGATACTTTTAGGGATGTCGTCTGGGCTCGTTTCCTCTAGATGAGATAGATTAGAAGCCATTAAGTGACATATCCTCGGCAAAATATGCCCTTGCAACAAGGATGCTTCAATAAATTGCCTGCCTAAGCTGGCCACAAGGAAAAACACGAGACGGTTATTAAAGAAAGGGTCTCGGGAGAGCGACACCGCGTTGAATAAATAATTTTAGGGTTCGGGGATTCCCCTTTTAAAACGTGTCGAGTCAAAACCGGTAATTCTTGAAAACGAAAGCTGCAATTTTCTTTAAGCTGCATCAAAATTGTACCAACCGATATACCATAGTCATTTGAGAGGAGAAAATACGAATCTTAGAATTCCTTTTTACTCTCTTAACCCCTGTTTTCTCGGAATTTCAATCAAATAATGACAACATTTCTCAGAAACAAAGCACTTGTTACCATCCAATAAGAAACCAACGAAGGTCATGTCAACCAATCAGAGCGTAAAAAATTGAGTTATTTGCATTTCCGGCTTTCTACGAAGAACTGACGAGGTCAATAATTATAACACGCAATTCTTAAGGTGCGTTGCTCTCAGAGGATTTGAAATGGACAAAAAGCAAATTTTGGTCACTGGCTTCCCGAATGGAACGGGAAAAGCACAGCTCATGATCTACTTCCAGTCTGAGAGAGATTCTGGAGGAGGTGACGTAGAAAAGATCGAAATTCACCGCGGAAGAGCATACATCACTTTCGACGAAGCTAGAGGTGTGAAATATTCTTTCACTGGCCTTGAGTTTTTCTGCGCGCTCGTTGCTTTTAATTTCGCACTAAACAATAACACATTGAACTGATTCACATTTATAAGAGTATGGATAAGAAAGAGTTTATATAATATTCTTAAGCTCAAGAGAAAAAAGGTTTGTCGTTCTGTAGTTCGCTGCGGAAGTTTCGGTAGTTTGCGAGTCGTCAGGTATCACTAAACTGATTGACACCCATTGTATGCTGGAGTGCAATTAAAGTCGAAAATTGAAAGTTTTGGAAAAATGAAAACTACTGACGTAGTTTTACAGAATCATCAATCTTGTGGGGAACGGAAATCGAAAGTTGACGTCTCACATGGATGTTTTGGCCGTTACTCACGCAACACGCTATGCAGTGAAGGGATTTTTCCCTGCGTTTGATTACATCGCTTTTCACCCTAAGCGATCTTCGCAACAGTAGTGGTAGTATCTACTAGACCGGCCCAAATGCTGTAACAAAAAAGGATAAAAAAAATTCAAATGAACTTCCGGTAAAGTTCGACCGCAAGTCTATCCATTTTCAATGAGAGGTCGGCATTGCATGCAACTGAAGCTATCAGAAAGGACGGAAAACGTTCATTATAGTGACCATACCACTAAATGTGGCTGCAAATCGAAGTTATTGTGATTCACGGTAGCTGTATCGCCGCATTCAAGTGCGTGCTACAAAAATTTGCACTCGGCGGACTCTCATGCAATTGAAATATACAGAGCAGCTCCTTCAGGCTCTTTAGTTTGGATTGCCTTTTCTTATGTTAAAATTTCTTTTTGGTTGAAAACGTCAAAACTCACCAGTCTGCAGTAGTTTGAAGAGGAGCACGAGAAACGAATTTTGCGCTTCTAGTGTAGATATGCCTAGAGGCTATTGTATGATTGCTGTAAGAAAATATTCATATCGCCTTTCCTTTTGCACATGGTTAGAACTATGAAATGATACCCATTTCGATATTTTTGTTAATTTTCCGGTCTACAATAAAGCTTCCTTTGCAGAAGCGTCGTAGTAGGTAGAACTAGCCATGTTTGTGCTGGGATAAATTGGCAAGATGGCGATTCATAGCCTAAAACTTATACAAATATGATCATCGAATTTTCAATGCGTAACCTCTAACAAATGTTGCGCCACGATAAAACGCATCACGACAAATGCACATAAAATGAAAGAGGTGGAGGAAGGGAGAAGAAAGGTAAAAACTTGTTGAGTGTTTCAGGTCCGGAGACAAGTAGAACGGACTCAAGGAACATGCCACATCTTATCCTGACCGCTGATGGCTCAGTAATTTTCCATTAAAACTCGCAACTATAGCGCTAAGGACCTCAGTTCTATTGTTAGCGGTGATATCAACAGATAGTCTTGAATGGATCTTATTATTATTATTGCCCATTATTATTCCCATTCACATTTTGAAGTTTTGAGTCTGTTCTCTTATAGTTCGACCCTTCAGTAATCCTTGTCTTTTCCTCGTTAAAAGCAAATATGTTAGAAGCATACAATATAGCTAATATATAATCTGATTACTAAGTTTTAAATGAAGCGTATCATATGAAATGATACGCTTCATTAAAACTTTCACTTATTATTTTATTTTTCGATCAACTGGTTTTAAAGTAAACATAAAAAATTCCATGTATGATTCCTGTTTCCGGGATTTTATTTCTTCAAATCGTTTCCTTTACAAGTGTGGACTGTTTTTTTATGTCGCTAAGCAGAGATGTTAAGCTGAATTTTGTTACTTCCTGCAAGCAGGTAACGTAACTGGCAAATAAATCCCGTAAATGTTGCAAACAAATGTGTCTTTCACCAGAATGTCTTTACAGCGTGCATTGACCTTTTTCGAAAACATGGGAAACCATCTCTGAAAAAAGTGTCATTGATCATTTTTCATGATGGGTGCCGTAAAAAGTACTGCATGGAGTTGTTTGGAGGGAACCATGATTCACTTTAAACATTATAGCTCCCTTAAATAAATATTTCTTGTAGAAAGTAAGCAATAATTTTGTGAAAAATGAAATTGACAACAACAGCAGTGATATGACATGTAAAGTGAGCGAGTTTCTGTTGCTGTTTCATATTGATTCGTATTTTATTTTTTCCTATGGTGATGTTTATCTCGATTTCCTTCTGTAGCCGCCCGGCGGGTTGTTCGCCGAAGTAACCATAGCCTCCAGAATTGTCAACTTCAGGTGAAGTTCCATCCAGACTCAGAGGATGAAGATAATGAGTACGAACAGGAACAACATAATGGAGTAAGTACTCTAAAGGACTTCTTAGAATAATGTACAGATATTTTCTCTATCCATTTCAAAGGCTCTCTGTTACTAGAACAAAGTGATTGACAGTTCTTTAGGAGCTTATTTCGTAAATAATCTCATGGACAACTCAAATAAGTGCTAAAAAGTGAAATGAGAATTTGTGATAATTATTATTATAACTACATGTTGAAAAAATGTATTTGACACACACAATAAGCAATGCAGAATATTGACACACACAGAATTGACACACACAGATAAGCAATGCAGAATATACAAGCTGTTTCCTTTCACCTTTCCAGTTCTGTAACATCGTGAGGCGACAGACAATATGTCACTCACCACAGCTTAGGGGTTAGGCTTGTGTGGGCGCTTGAGGTTGGAGGTAAAAACTATTATTTAAGGCATTTTCGACAAGTGCCTACAAATTAGATTAGGCTACAGTACCAAAAATGCTTAATCAGCTCGTCAGAAGCGTAGAAACCTCTCTCTCTTCAAACTGGAAGAGTTAGAGTTTTACAACTGATTGAAGTCTTTACGTCAAAACTGCCACGAAATGAAAAAGAAAACGTAAGTCTATCATGGAGATGTTGCCCACTGATGAACGAATGTGTCATATTTTATCAACCAGTGTAGATAAAACGGAAACTGTGATACCGGACACTAAAACTTCAACAAAAATTGGCAGTGGGTGCAATGTCGTTCCACCACTAGGGTATTACACTGAGCACGCCTTACAAGTTCATGTTATTATTTATAGCAATTTGAAGAATGTAAGCACTTATCAGCTTCCCAGAAATTCGAAAGAGAACAGCAAGGACATCCTAATGAACCTCCCGTGCTAAAGCATTCCACAGTCCAAGTAAAAGGTATGTTGCCAGACACATCAAGAGATCTCTTGGTCTTCTACTTCGAGAATACAAGGCGATCTAAAGGTGGTCCAGTCTCTTCTATCGACATGAAACCTGATCTTCAAATTTGCTTGATCACTTTTAAAAATTCTGCAGGTATGTAGAACTTTTTTATCCCTATTTTATTGGCAGCATTTGGAATCTAGCTTTAGAACAACTGTCTCCATCAGCAATTGTCTTAGCAGTCGTGCCGATTCGTCTCCTGTACAACTATTAGTGTTTAATTGTTTGCGGTTATTTTAAAGCATGACACTGTTGAAGCACTTGACTTAAGCTTCTATGTAATTACTCACCTGCGTAATTATTCATAATTTACTTATTCATAGATTTATTCGTTCATTTTTTGTTCTTTTATCCTTTTTTTCTGTCTATTCACCTTTTTTTAAAAAGGTGTGTTTCTTTCGTTTTAGACTTTTTTCGACGTTATGTTTATTCCTCGACGTCTCGACCAGTTTTTTGGGATGTGATAAGGCAAAACATTGATCCACTATGTTATTCAAATAGGTGAAAAAAGAAATAGAGAATAATATATGGGCACGTGTAGATATGGAATCTCTCCTCGAGTGTTTAACTCGATGCGGATTTTTCAGTGTTTTAGCTGCCATAATCCGGAAAAACTTCGACAAACGACTCTGGATTAAGAATGGCGAAGGCTTCGCCGTTTGTTCATCAACCTGACCGAGTGGCGCGAAAGGCGAGTGACGTGTCAGCAGCTGATTGGCGATATCAAACACACGTGAAAAAAATATCGTATTTTTTCACGTGTGTTGTTATCACTTTTCTCAGGGCTGGAAATCCTTGTATAACAGTATAGTTTATATGATAAAAAAGGTTTAAGAGATAACAACACAAACAGTCTCAGCATGCCCATCGATGAGGTCTCGAGAGGAAATGACTACGTTTCCCTTATATTAGGCATTATTTTTTAAGTTTATAAAATTCTTGCAGACGCTCAAAGAATCGTGGATAACTCCCCTCACATTGTGTCTGGCCTTCGTCTTGACGTGTCTTTTGTCGACGAGAGGGAAGATGAATTGGCAAATAACTACGAAAACAACAACACTATGTCAGACGGTTCCATCGCAATAATTGTCAGTGGTATATCATCGCCTATCACCAATGATTCCGTAAGGTATTACTTTGAAAATTCAAGGAGATCTGGAGGAGGAGCCATTTCTGATATTTTCTTTGCCGAAGACGGAGACGCTAGGATAACTTTTTATGAGGTGAAAGGTACGTCACCAAAATGTAGCATTCTTGTTGGTATTTAATAGTCAGGAAAAGCCTGTTGCAATGAAAATTTTCAAATTTGTACAAATA